TTCTGCTTGTCATAGATCAATCATGTTTGCCATCTTTTATGTTTTATTGATTTGATTGTAATGTGTTTACTTGACTGTTATGAGCCACCAAAAGCTGTTGAGAGTCAGACACCATGCACATTTTATTATTAGTATTAGTATTAGTATTAGTATTAGTATTAGTATTAGTATTAGTATTAGTATTAGTATTAGTATTAGTATTAGTAGCAGCAGCAGCAGCAGCAGCAGCAACCTGATCCCTTTTGAATATTTCAAAACATAAATGCCTCTTCAAAATTGCCTGAAACTCCTAGTACTGTCCAATATGAATGGCTTCTCTGTCTTATCCTTACCTGGTTTTACACAAGTGACATCTGGTCCAACACTTTCAACAATGCCTGCTCCTTCATGGCCCCCAATAACAGGGTAGTCTATGTTTGGAAAAATACCTTTCCATACATGATCATCTGTCCGACAGATCCCAGTGGCTACCATCTGTGCAGATAAGAGTATGTCATTTCAGTGTTTGCTCTGCTTAGGTCCAATTCATTCCTTCACCTAAAAAGGTGAGAGGAGCTGTGCTGCATCAGACCCAAAGCCTATCTAATCCAGCATTCTCTTTGCATAGTGGCACAGCAGATGCCTTGCGGAAGCCTTCAAGCAGGACAGTCCTCCCACTTATACCACATAGCAGTTATCCAGCTGAAGGAAGGAATACTTGGGGGCTTTAGTGATGCTTGCCTGGAGATCAACTGAAAGAACACCAGATTTATTGGGCTTTGTGTTGCATTTTTCAATATAATTTGTTTCTGGTGTTACCAAAATTTGAACTGCAGCCTCATTAAAAACTGGTCCTGAAAAGCATACACAAATCTTGAGAGCTGCCTTCTTCATTCTGAATGGAGAACATTCATTGATGCAGAATCTGGTGACTTCCATCTTTTCTTTTTCTATAGAATACAACAGTTCTGCCTGTTGCCATCTTATCAATAGAAAAGCCGTCGTTGCAGAGGAAGAATCTCTATGGGCCACTGATAATGTCACATTGTCAAGAACTTATTTAACAAGCAGGCCTGTAGCCATGCACAAACGGGAGATACCGGCAGGCTTCAAGAAGCTCTCAGCAATATAAAACATTTATTCCAAAGCAAGCCCTAAGGAAAAACCCTTTCAAAACAAACCAACAAGAACTGGATGATTGGTAGAGCAACCATCAACAGGAATGTTTGGGACGGCAGCATCTTGGTTCAAGTCTTGTTTGTTATTTATGTTTTCCTAAGCCATTGTCTCACTAGCCTTTCCAGCAAGTCTCAATAGTTAGGTACAAGATACTTGCAGATTTATTACAATAATAATTTATTCACTATAGGGGATGTCCTCCTTTTTTACCTTCACTCGAACTTCATGGCTCTTTGGTGGTGCTACTTCCACCTCTTCAACTGAAAGTGCTTTGCCTGGTTCCCAGATGACTGCAGCTTTACATTTTATCACCTGTGTACACATGGACCATCAAAAGAAGTCAGAGAAAAGTGCAAAAGTACTGTCAGAATATTTCACTTCTCCCCGAAACCAGAGCAGTGACAGAATTGTTGAACCAGGAAGGGAAGGCAGTTGTCCTTCTTGGATTTATATCAACAAGCTATGGCAGTTTTACCATGGGCACGATCCAAAGTGCTTTACCAACCATTCTATCAGTGTTGTTAGGAAGTGGAATCAATCTGGCACCTAAAGGCCGTTTTAGATTGGTGTAGGCACACCGCTCCTGATCCCTGGGCATTGCCTCTAGGAGCATTCTGGTTTAGACAGTGGGAGAGTCCAGTTCTTTCAAGCTGGCCTTTTCCCCTGAACCTACTAAATCTCCATATTGAGATCTGGATCAGTTCCCACAGCAGCTGATGAGCAGAGGCAGAGGGAACGGGTACAAAGAGAAGCATAAGAGAGAGCCAGCTCTCTCTCTGCTGCTGCTACTGCACCCACACTCTCTACAATCAGCTTCTGCCACTTATTTTTGAGGCTTAATGGCTGAGAAGTACTAGAAGAACATCAGGTAAAGGGGAGGCTGTTATTGTCAAACTCCGAATGTCTGCTCCTACCAAGCAGCTGATCCATGAGATCACAGCCCTGGTGGATCAAGAGCTTCTTCTCTCCCTGGAAGTGCTACCTTTCCCAGCTCAGGAAGCTGACCACAAGGCCAGAGGAGATGGCAGGTGAGTTCTGAAAGATGGATCAATCCATCCTCTCCCAGGCAGGCAAAGTGGGGCCGGCACAGAAAAAAAGAGGCAGATACGGACATCTGTCAAAACCATCACCAATTACACTAATGCTGTGATTGGCAGATGATTTGCCTGCCATCTGGTATCACCAAGAAGCGGAAAGAAAGGCAACCTTTCTTGCATGGGACATGAGGACACTATCTTTCAGCTGCAAGCCAGAACAAAGGCAATTCAAAGTGGCAATCGAGACCACAAAATCTATGGTAGTTTGGTTTTCTGCAGGGTCACACCCCTAGACATAGTCATGCAGAATAGTAAATGGACTTTACTTTCAGCTAAGTGTGCATACAACTGCAGCTTAATATTTGTAACGAACACCCTGAAACTTGCCATATGCCAATGTCTCTCTCCAGCAGTCATAAAGATGGAAGAAGAGATAGAGAAAAAACTACAGTAATAAGTTTGGAAACTGACCTCTCACATTTTTGTATGCATATAAAAATGAAAATCTAGTTTAATTCAAATTTAGAACTTTTCTAAAATTCGTAATGGGTTCACCAATTAAAAAAAAATGTTTGGGGAAAGTCTGCATTGTATTAGGATATGTTGCTTGCAAAAATGTTAGAATAGGCAAAACTGCAAATAAACATCTGTGGAAAGATGTTCACAAAAAAACATGTTCGCATACATATATGAAGACAAGTACTTTGGAAAAAAAACACCCTTCAAGTCAATTAACTGAACTTGCAAAAATCAGAAACTAAGAAAAATCAAAACTGACCTATGTACCCATTCCTAGCTAGAAATATTATTTCCCTCTATTTCCAAAACATTATTTTGTTAATTTTAACTATGTGTATGCATATGTATGATAGACAGACAGATAGAGGTAGATTGGTTGGTTGGTAAGGAGGTAGGTAGGTAGGTAATATATAAGTTTATTTACTTAGGAGCCAGTTTGGTGTAGTGGTTAAGGTAGCACGCTAGAAACTGGGAGACTATGAGTCTAGTCCTGCCTTAGGCACGAAGCCAACTGGGTGTTCTTGAGCCAGTCACTCTCTCAGCCCTAGGAAGGAAGCAATGGCAAACTGCTTTTTAAATCTTGCCAAGAAAACTCCAGGGACTTCTCCAGGCAGTCACCAGGAGTCAAAAACTGACTCGAAGGCACACACAGGAAAGGGATATATAGCATATACAGGGCATAGCAACTATTCCCAGGTCCCGTTTCTAGCCTGATTGTAACCGTAACACCTCTGGTTTTGTCAAAGCCCTTTAGCTTTAATATAATATGTGAAATGGGATTCCCCCACCTCAAGCACCCATACATTCACTTTGTTGCTACTTCGTTTTTGTTTTCCAGTCAGGGTAGACCTTGAACCTGATTATATTACAACCAATTTGACCTGAAAATCATTCCCAATGCATTGTATCTTCAACCTGCTTTTCCTCCATATTGTCATCCTCAACAGTAGACTGAATAGGTTGTGTTGTGGTGGATGCATTTATTTGTTTATTTACTAGGGTTTGTATGTTCAATAGCACACAACTATCAGTAACAAAGAAAAGAAGAAAACTGTGGCCACCGAGGAACAATAAACATCCAAACATGCCCGACTCATACCAGTTGTCCTTCCAGGGTCTCTTTGAAAGCCAGTTTGTCATGGTGTTCATAAAACTCAAGAGAGTGAGTGGAGTCTGATCTGGGTAGGCAAAGAAGAGGGGCTACTGAAAGGGCTTGATTCCTTGAGCTTTGTAGACAACAGTCCCTAAGAGATTGGACCTGGACAGAACTTGCCCTACTCAATCTTGTAGGACCGGCAGAAGACACTGGGTCTTCTTTGCATGTGTGGTGAGAGCGTGCGTGGAGGAAGCAGTTGCATGGAAGGCTCTAATGCCATATTTCCATTTTGTGGCTGGATTGCTAAGCCATGAAGTACATTAAAAAAGAATCCCAAGGCTGCTATGGAATGTGGACAGTCTGACATTCCTCCCCAAACTGGGCTAAGACATAGGAGCTGAGGGATAAAGAAAAGACTAACACTCACAATTGTGGGATATACATGAAAGAGGATTCCACCCAGCTGTGCAGTGCAGGAATTGAAATAAACTTGTCTTTCTGGAGCTGGACTTTCCTGCATTTGATTATGTCTTCCCACTGCTTGTTATTCACATGGGTGTGCTTTGTAGCAGAGTCCTAATCATTTTGCCATATGGCAGGGCTTTGCCTTACTTCCTTAGTTGTGGTTTTGCTGTCCTGCTTTGTACCTTGTTTCCATATATCCAAACCACTGGTTTATATCTACCACAGCTTTTACATCATTTATGTCTTTGGCACAGGGTGCACAGATAATTAGGATGCAATCAGCATTTTCTCAGCTGCCCAAACATCATACTTCACTGATTTTTTTTTTTAATCTGTTCAATCAGGTCCAATTCTCAGAGACTGCCTGGACAAGTCCCTGCAGTTTTCTTGGTAAGGCTTTTCAGAAGTGGTTTACCACTTTACTGATAGTTTCTGTTTATTATTATTATCCAGTTTTTTATCGCTTAAAAATGCTGTTTAGTTTTCCTTAGAGTACAGAAGTGAAGTGTATTTCAGTTTGTTGATATAAAAAGTCAAGGGATGGATTGGAAAGAAATGGAATCTACTGGTTTTAACTGGGCACAAGCTATACCAAGGAGAGGCAGGAAAATGAACAGGAAGGTACAACTGATAATGCCACAATGCCTGCATTCATTTCATTTGTAACAGATCCCACCCTAATGGCAAATGGTAGCCAACAATGTGGTAGGCTAGTTAAAGTGCTGGACCGACACCAGGAGACCCAGGTTCAAGTCTATCCTCAGCCTTAACTCTCTCTTAATTGAGGGGAATTCTCCTTGGTCCCTTGGAGAAAATGGGGAATATAAATCTACCAAACAACAATATGATGAAAGAAGCATTCCCCAAGTTGCTGTTCTTTTCCAAGCGAATCCAACTAAACAAACTTGGGAAACACATTTTCCATTGCAAAAAAAAAAAAAAAAAAAGTTTGCAGTGCAATTCTATGCATGTTTACTTAGAACAAAGTTTTCACTAGGCTTCTATGTTTTATACTACTAGCACTTTACTATCCTAAATGCATGCACTACAGTTTTTAGGCTGTTAAATTCTCTCCAAACATAGATTTTTCTGTGTAGTTTCTCTCCCCGATAGCAGCTTTTTATGGCACTGTGCTATCTTCAATGAGGCCATCTGTGGAATGCAAATAGTAAGACAAAGTAGTTCTCTCTGGCATTCGGCAGAGTTTGCAAGTCATGATATTTTAAATTTATTATGATAAGTTATTACTCGCTAAGTAAAGAAGGCTACTTGGAAGTCTCGTACCATAAAAGCAAAACAAGACAAAAGAAAGAGGAAAAGTTGTCTCCATATCTAGATGAGCTTGTAGAGCCATTTCTAGATTGCAGACACCACAGATCGCAGAGTCTTCCTTGAAATCCAACATACCAGGGAGAGAGCTAAGCTGCAGAAACCCTCCTCTCTGCTCTATCTTTGTATTTGAAACCCCTCAGAATATAAATAAGCAGACAGGGAAGGGGAGGGGGTCAGTGTATAGTTGCAATGTATACTCAGAAAGGGGGTTGCAAGATGTATTAGCCCTAAATCCAAAGATTTCTGGCTGAAAACTCTGTTTTGAACATTACACTGAAAGTGCGCGCACACGCGCGCGCACACACACACACGAAAGCAATACTTTTGTTTGCTCTTGGCACACTTCTCTCAAACTGCAGTGAGATTCAATTAGTTTTCTGTATGGTAAAGCATGTTGGTCTTCTGTAGGGCGAAGAGAAAAGTTTGTCCACATTTACAGTACCAAACACTTTGAATGAAAAGATGATAGTTTAAATCAGACATGGCACAACGTTTAAAGCTCCCAGTGTGAAACCTCCTAATAACACATTTGGCAACTAATCCTGTTCTAATACTTTCCCACAGGTCTCAGATTATGCTGATCCTGCCCCCACCTTGAAATTCTTCAACAAGGCAAAACTGATGGGATATATTAGACAAAGAATTATTCTTATTTAATGTATTAAAAACTAGCACTTATGATAGCCTTTGTATTTTTAAGACCAGAGATAGATTGGAAGTTATTTTTCATACCTTTTATATATTAGACAAAGAATTATTCTTATTTAATGTATTAAAAACTAGCACTTATGATAGCCTTTGTATTTTTAAGACCAGAGATAGATTGGAAGTTATTTTTCATACCTTTTCTTCTTTTACTTTACTTCACTTTTTCCTTTTTATTTCTTTATATTTTGTATTTAAAATTTTCTTTTCTATTTCTAACTTTTAAATATGTATCTTTAAATGTTCAATAAAATATTTTTTATTATATAT